CGCTGCACCGCCCTCAGCTGACCACGTTCCTATTGGTCAACGACACATGGCCATTATTCATTTGTGCATCGTGTTTGTTGGTTACGAATTGTGGGAACGCGTGAGGCTGTGCTTGGTGCTTTCGGAAAACTGACGCCACGAGGCCCACGAACGAGCGGGGCGTTAAGAGGCAGCCGTGAACCTAGATACCGTCCAATCACCTTCCGGGCATGAGAACTTGCCGGTCAATACTCTGCTGCGCCTCCAACCGATTATAATGACAGTTACGACCACATGTACATTTATATTGCACCCGCAGCTTACAGGGCACTCTGTACGGGTGGTGCCTGGAGTTGTGCATCTAGGTACCACTGCCTAGGTACCTCTTGACGCGCTCATCTTCATATCAGCATCTATTAGCCCAGCAGTCAACATTCTCGCGCTTGGCTTCGCGATAGTCGGTCTTATGTATCTGCCTGAAAGAGCGCAGACAGATGGCCTGGACGATGGCCCGCCCACTAGCATCCCATCGGGGCGCGCAGCGCTTGACTATCGGACTGCGTATCATGCAAAGTCTTACTTCCGGCTAGTTCCTCTGGAACCGATAAATTCAGTGGACATGCGAAAAGAGTTCACCGGTTCGAGGGTGATAAGACTCGCCAAATATCAGTGATCAAAGTGAGTGGTGTTAGAACGCACGTATTGAAACATCCGTCAGGCTTTGCAAATTCTCACAATCCTCACTACATACATATCACGAAGCAGTGATATATGAAAGCATCGATCCGATTGCGATATATGAATCAAGCACGATAGGAGGGCTTCATTTCTCAATTTGATGTTAACCTTCTGCCCGTCTATACCCTATAGCAAGACCACTTGTCCCATCCACCATCGCACCAAGCATACACGTTGCTGCCATACTGACTCCTACATGCTGCAGGAGTGTCGACATCGAAGACTATACCGACGCCGAGGGCTCCACCTGAGCATCGCCAGTCGTTGCATGAATTTCCGACCCGGCTAGCAGTCAAAGGCAAAGCAGGCTGCTCACGGCAGGCCCGAGGCATGTCTATGCCGCCGAGTCTCTGGCCAGCTGCCGCTACAGCAGCTGCTGGCGCGACGAGCGCTGCTGGGGCGCCAAATGCTGGCCCGGCGAGGAGGCCGAAGCTGATAATGGCACCGAGAACTGTAGTGTGGGTAACCATATTGTTCCCTGTACACAGACGAGTAGAAGTTAGTAATTGAAGAGATAAGTTTCTATGTCTCAGTTTGGAGAAAAGAAAGATCTCGCTACTGCCACATACCTAGGTATCTGATGAAGACTGATGCGAACAGGTAGATCGTGGCTGGGTCTTGAAATTTGTGAGATGGTCGCTGTGTGCTTGGTGAGTGGGTGACTATGGAGGGGAGCTACCTAGGTATTCAAGGTGAAGAGGAGTAGTTCTTATAGTGATTTGCTCCTGCTTCGAACATGCGCCTTCATGTAGGTCGTCCAGGCATATTGATTACTAGCCACGTCACAACTGTCGACCAAATGATCTTACTTGTACGCTAGAGATTGGGAGGGAGGGGAAGGGGGTGGGTCTAAAATCGTTTATGCTACTATGCGGCGCAGCTTAGTGTAGCCGAAGTAGTGATAAGCAGACGCAAACATATGTGGCAAGGCTCTCGACCTTGGAGCATATCGTGTTCCAAATTCGGACGTTATATAGCTACCATTATTGGTCCGCATCACCTGTTAAGTCTTTCCGATTCCCTTACGTACCCCGTCCTAAACCGAATCCCTTCCATTAGTCCGCGCACATCCTGTCCAGGATGAAGGCTGCGAATGAACACTCGCCAAGTAACCAATACACAACGCGTGAGAATGGATGTGTTTTGGCATCCGAAAGACCTTGCAAAGTCCTCATTGAAGATGGACCGTGAAACAGTGGGACGTAAAGCCATCAACTCGAAAGCGACATATCAACCACAAGTGACAGGAAGAACGTGAATTTGTATATGTCCGTCTATGCCTTGTAGCAGCCCCAACTGAGCGCATCCCCATTGCACCGAGCATACACTCCAGCACCATATTGATTAACGCATGCCCGAGGGGTGTTGACACCCGTCTTGAAATTAGTGTACGCATCCCAGCACTTCCAACCGTTGCATGTACTATCAAACCGAAGAGCTCTCCACTGAGGTCCAATCTCCTTTATACAATAGGCGTCCATGTTAATGCCCTGAATCATAGATGTCCGAAGTTAGTATTTGTCTCACCAAGATTGCTCACATGGGAGAATGTACCCCTAGGTATTCACCTGCTGCTACTGCGGCATTGGCGGGTTCGGCAAGGGGTGCAGGAGCGGCAAGGGCTACAAGATCGGCAACTGCTGCTGGAGCAGCAACTGTTGGCGCCGCGAAGAGACCGAAGCTGATGATTGCGCGGATAATAGTGGTGTGAGTGACCATGGTAGCGGGTGCGTTCTAAGTAAAATAAGCCATCGTAAAGGTGAGAGTATATCATTGAAGTTTAAATGTCGTAGATCGCGCTATAGGAAGGGACTCGTTAATATGACATACTTGATGAAGATCGTTGAGGACCGGCGTATGGTATATAGCTCTTTCAATTTGTGAAAGGTCCGTTGCGTATTAGAAGAATGGATGGGGATGGGAAGAAGCTGTTCGAGATGAAGAAGAGCCGTTCTTATAGCAATTACTTCATCTTTGAACATACGCTTCTATTAGGTCGTGAAGGCGTAAGGCGTATTCTTTGTCGCCCGGCTCGAAGTATTGGACTAAGCCATCATAATCGCAGGCTAAAGTTCTGGGGCGTAAGTTGAAGTGGCACAGACCGGCATGCGATGCAGTCTGGTGGAGTGCCGTCCATGCTGACATGCAGCATGGCTTAGAAAAGACAGGTGAGGTTGTCGACATGCGGCCCGATCCTGCGTAGCAAGTCTGCTAGAGCTAGATGCACGTTGTAGTAGATACCCAGGTTAGTATCGAGACAGGGCTGCTTATCTATCTGCTCTGGGCTTTGGCGTTGACAGAGTGTCGAGCCTGGACTGAGGTGAACTCAGATGGGGAAGGTCTGAGGTTAGGCCCTCCGTAGGATTCGAGTGCGGGGCCAGCCGAGCACGCAGGGACTTACATACTAAGCGTAGGATTGGTTCTGTTAAATAGACTTTTCTGTCGATGTTAGCGAAGGCTGGTGAAGGATGCTCACTACAGCATCGTTTAAGGTTTGTGGTCAGAAAGTGTGCCGCTTGCAAGGGAAAACCCACCAATCGTTGCTTGAGTCGCGACCTTACAGTAAACCTCTGAAAATCTTCATATGTCGCGCAATAGAAATGGACAGACTCCAATGAAAGGCCACGTTTGAAATCATCGCTAGGTTTCCATGTGTATCTCGTAGTGAGGCAGAACGAAAGAAACTCCACGATGAAATTCGCAGGAGAAATTGTGGTTTACTGCTCGGACTGAAATCATCCGTCAAACAAGCAGATACGCATTCTTTCTGCTCAATAAGTCCGTGCTGCCTCATGTATTACTCAAACTGATTGCGGCTAGGATCAGGCGCAGCGTATCCTCTCCTGAAGAGGAAGCTCTGCAGCTTATCCTCAACTCTCGCAAACTATAACCCCATTAGCCTCAAAGACATTATTTGCGACTCCGTGAAGGTACTCGTCAGGATGCGCTCTCTGAGCTCAAGCACTTACAAAACCCCGTCCCTGTACTCCATCTCTGACCCATACTCCATATCCACCCATGAGGTTTGCCATCATGACGTCCGTGGACAGGCGATCTCCTACTATTGCGATTTGATCTGGTCTAGTCACACCAGAATCCGGATGCGCCCTGAAGTAAGCCATGACCTCCTCCTTGCAGCCAGGCTTCTTGGTGGTATGTCGCAACACTTTGACACCGGTGTTGGCCTCCAAGACATCAGCCTGGGCATAGTTCTTATCGGATGATGTGCCAGCTGTGTTAGAAACTATCAAGAGTTTTGAGCCTGGATAAGCGCGTCGCAGGCGCTGGAAATGATCCTAAAATGGTGATTAGTAACGTTCAGGGTGGGGAAAGGCGCGTAGCAGTACTTCATATGGCTTGTGAATCTCATCGGTATGTGGGACAGCAAAACAGTTGTCTTTGTCGAGCACTACAGCTTGGATGTCTACCTCTTTCTGCTCGTTGACCCCATCCTTCCTAAAGGCTTTCGACAGGGGAATGGGTAGATGATTGAATGTTGAGACTGTATGCTGCGGAAGACAAAGAGTCGGATTCCAAATCAACCGGAAGACATTTAGGGTGCCCGAGATGTTCATTTGGGATGCAGCGTGGTATGATTGCGATGGTGGAACGGGATGGTGACGCGCTTGTTGCGCGCTACTTTTCCAGAGATGTTGTTTCCGACGGTTCCGATATCGTTCCGAGCAACTCTCGAGGCCGACCGCTGCAATCAGTACCAGCGAACTCCACTTAGCCTGCTTATACGTTTATGCAGGTCGAAGATGCAGAGTGATATCAGTGTTCAACAGAGTTCCGGCAGTTTTCGCTGCGCTACAGGGGAGCGTACGGCTATGTCATCGCGAGGAGAGAATCTGGTAACGTAGACACGAGGAATACATATCACAGTATATGATAACGTGCTTGTATGAGATGAACGCAACTTGATAGGGTGTAGCTTGAACAGACATCGAGTTCTTGATGAGGAGCAGGCAGCAGAGAGCGATGGCATGATGACTAAGACATGGTCCAAGCTCAACCTCAACTTTCTGTAGACAGCGATATTAGCACCGCGCACGCGCTCTGCACCCACGACATCCAAGACTGCGCCGTGCACTGCTACCGACGACTCCTGCGTACCGAGAAGGCGACGAAACCCACGAAACACAATCGCGCCCCGATCGCGATTTGCGACCACGACACGAAGTCTTCACTTGTTGCGATCTACCACTATCCTACGGCTTCGAACACGCGAAGGACTCAACTAGTGATACCAGTCAAATTGGACGAGAATCAATACAGCCAAAATGACGAGCACTATCGGTATTCCAATCAAGCTCCTCAACGAGGCAGCAGTACGTTCACCGTCAAGTACCCTACCAATACTTGAGCCTGTGCTAATGGGTCCTAGGGTCATATTGTCACGCTTGAAATCACATCTGGCGAAGTCTACCGCGGCAAGCTGATTGAAGGTACGTCTCCATATGTGTATTAGCCTTGAGGCGTTGTACTAACGAGCTACAGCCGAGGACAACATGAACGTACAGCTGAAAGACATCACTGTAACCGCCCGCGACGGCCGCGTCTCACATCTCGAACAAGTATACATTCGAGGAAGTCATGTGCGGTACTTCATTGTCCCAGACATGTTGAGGTGAGATCCAATGCCTTATTGGAAGGAGACAGGCACTGACAGGTCATAGGAACGCACCCATGTTCCGATCGAGAGGCACAAGGGGTCGCGGTGTTGGTCTTGCGCGTGGAAGGGCCACAGTCAACAGGGCCAGGGCCAGCACTCGCGGCGGTGGTCGCTGAACGAGCCGAAAGTTACGGGCGAAAAGACAACATAAGCAGAGAGCATGCTACCGGAAGCGAAGCAGCAGCGAGGACGCGCCATTTGGTGCCAGGACTAGACAACGGAGGGAAGGACAGGTATGAAACCAGATCGTTCTTGCTGGACATACGCTGAAAATTGGGATAGCCACAAATTTGATGATACCTTTGAATGGGATGAATGCACATTTTCACATCACCAAGAGTAGCGCGTGCTGAAAGAATGAACGGCGGCATATGGAGTGAAAACGCAACCGGGCGTAGTCGCGAATGTCTGATAGTCCCTGCGGCAGGCGGGCGCCTACCCCACGTCCAAAGGCGAGACCCCCGAGAACTCCGCAACTCGACACTTTTTCCACCAACACAACATGGACATGGAGATCAAGAACCCACGGCGCATCCTCGCTATCGGTGCGCCGGGAGCAGGTGTACTTCCACTGCTGAAGGGTACTTGATACACCCTCTGCATTGCGCGCATCTACTGACTCGGCTTAGAACTCACAGGCTCCGCCCCAGAGCAAACCTCCGAAACCACGGCCGGCCTTGCGCACGAATGGCGTCTCGAGACCAAATACTACACCGCGAATCTTCCCATATGGGTCGACGAGCTCAGCAACGTCGCGGAATGGCGCACCGAATTCACCAAGCCCGAGGCTCGCGAGGTTGTCACCGCGCTCGGTGCGTGGATATACTGCTTCAAGAAACCAGTCGAAGAAAAGGATCTAGAAGTGATCAAAGAGACCATGCAGGCCGTTTCCGACGTCATCGACCGTGCCTGTGGTTACGGTGGTGATATGGTGTGTTTGGCTGTCGCGATGCCCCAATCTATAACACCTTACCTTGAGAAGAGCAATGAAGACTGGGAAGAACTGGCCATGGAATACGGTTTCGAATACGTCGACTCAGAGAAGAAGGGCAAGAACGAGTTTGGTGAGGCGACGGGCATACACAGAGTTAGGGAAGCGCTCGAGGCTGGGGAATGGGAAAGCATGGCGGGTTTAGGCTTGGGCGAGGATGACGACGGCTTTGGAGGCAGCTTTGCGGCAGAAGAGGCGGAGATGAACATGGAGCTGTTTGGCATGAAAGGCGCCCTTGCTGGGTTCAACGACGATGAAGGTCATGAACCTGGAGACAAAGAGGTCGAAGACCTGGAAGTCATGATGCAGAAGATGGTTGCTATCAAGGAGATGGGCGAGGGCATGGAAGAGGCTGAGCGAAAACGTTTCGCTGCAAAGGCAGTGAACGACCTGCTGAAAGATCTATGATACGGACATATCTGGACTGCAACAGACACTGCCGAGCACTATCGTAAATGCCTACCTACCAGCGACTACTTCAACTCTTCACGCAGAAACACAGCAAAAACGGGAAATCCATCTCTCTCGCCGGCTTCCCATCCTCAGCATCAACCTCCTTTCGCAGGACAAAAGCCTCATCGACCCTCACCTCATTAAACCCTGTCCCTAACAACAACTCTTCCATCTCGCTTTTCTTAATTCCGTGCCTCTCTACGCCCGGCCTCTTACTCACCGGATGAAACGGCACAGCCTCCGGTCCAAAGTCCTCATAGTCCGTCAACGCAACAACACCTCCAGGCTTCAAACACTTGTGCATAGTCGCTAGGATCTCCGCCATCGACGGGATATGATGCAGCGTTAAGTGGGAAACCACAAGATCAAATCGGTACGAATAAGGCGGCGATGGAGCCTCTCCTCGATGGGTGGCAAGGAGCGCTGCTGCGCTTTGCAATTCATGCGAGTCCGGGTTCGTTAGGAAGTGGTTCACCGAACAGAGATTCGGGTGGTCTGTTGAAAGATCCGCAAGCTTGGTGTCGAAGGCGCTTATCATGCCATCTGCTGTGTCGACGCCGATGAGGCTGCGTACATGTGGAGCTAGCATGAAGGAAAGGAGGCCAGTTCCGCAACCGATTTCTAGTACGTCGAGATCTGTGATGCTCGTCAGTTCAAGAGCGTAGTGGGATGGCGGTATGATAATACCTTTGTTGCTTCCATCTTTGAATGCGGGCACATAGCGCTTGATGGCCTCGAGTGCTTTTGAAGTTGACTCTACATGCTTCTCATTCGAATCCCATTCTAGTGCTTCTTTGCTGAAGCGCGCGTTGTTGATCTCTTGACTAGTTGTCATGACGTTGGTGATGTGAAAGTGAAAGGTTAACGTGCTTTCGAGAAAGGACCGAAAGGTACTAGTAGCAGTCGTGCATGAACAATTGTAAAGCAATGCTGGGGCGTGTCGTGATTGATAGGAATGTACTTGTGCATACGTAGAATGCTGTGCGGGGTTCGCGGGCATGATGCGGGGCGCTTCCGTCCTGGGACGACCGACAGTCGCGACTTCCTGTAATTGTACCGCGATCCACAAATGATCGAGATCTACTTCGTTTCTCCGGTAATCTGGCAAAGCCCTCTGGTTTGCCAACTGCTAGTGCCTATGCGGCAGAGCAAGCAGTCAGAAGATCGGAGAGCTCAGCCTCCACGCTCGAGAGGCTGTGCAGCGATGCCTTCTCCAACTGAACGCCCAGGCTGAGTCTCAGCGGGATCGTTGTTGCCTCGCTCTTCCGTCTCACATCCCTCGAATATCCCAAACTTGATTCCCATCAACCTAGCAAAAATATCGGCTTCAGGCATTCTCCACTCTGCGATGATCGGTTGAAAGGTTTGAGCTTATTGCAGTACAACCTCATTACACGAAAGAGCATCGTAGAAGATGGCAGCCTTGCGCTACACACAGCTGGATCGAAGTAAAAAAACCATCCGTCTCCTCACTGTAGCACCTGGCGACCCGGAAGAGCAAATCCGCTGCGAGCTCACGCATGCTGATCTCGACGAGTCTCCTTCGTTCATCGCCTTATCGTATACCTGGGATCAGGACGGCGGACAAGACGAAATCGAATGTTGTGACACAGCCATCCAAGTCGGAAAAAACCTCCGCAATTTTCTTCATCGTTTCAGGATCTGGGATGAAGGTCGCGGGAGTCGACTATGGATCGATGCGTTATGTATGTGTTAGATGCTCTATGATATAAGACGAGTCTCAATTAGCTGACTGATACGTGAAGGTATCAACCAAAAGGATGTCCATGAGCGCAATCATCAAGTCGGCCAAATGCGCGCGTTGTTCTCGACGGCGACATCTACGATTGCATGGCTAGGTGAAATGGGTAACAACTCAGATCCTGCCTACTCAGCCGTATCCGCCCCACGAAGTTCCCTAGGATTCGCTAATGATGAGACACGCGAGGCGCTGATTGACCTCTTGAGTCGCCCATACTGGTCACGCGTTTGGGTTATACAAGAGTTCCTTTTGCCTGTCGATTTAACTGTATGGTGGAGTGGGTACCGCGTCACAGCCCACGATCTCACTCTGGTCGTTTGGGACATGGCTAGACTCTCCTGGCGTAGCAAGCCACGTTACCCTCGTATATGGGACACCCCTGGGAGAACTCTGTTGCGTTACCGGGTAAACTACCAACGAATGCATGGTTCTGATAAAGACGGCTCCTCTGCGGCAATTTGGGAGTCAATGAGATTGCGGTCCCTATTACAGTCATTTTCCGCATCTCAGTGCACTCTTATACACGACGGAGTGTATGCCCTACTAGGAATCGCAAGCGATGTCGCAGATTCACCCGATCCAATCTCACCGGACTACACCAAACTGCTCAAAGAGTTGTTCCTGGATGTCGCACGAAATCAGTATGGAACCAAACTTCCTGAAAGTAAACTTGCATGGAGATTTATCGATTCGCTTTGTGACATATTCAAATTGGACCGTCAGGAAATCAAACAATTTGCTTTTGTGAGAGTTCGTAGATTTGAACGAGAGAGGCGCGCTCTGGACCTCAGACATCACTCCGTCGCATCTTTTGATTGGTGCTCTCCCATTTTCTTGCGGGAAACAAAGAGGTATCATTCTAAGGCGTGCTTCCAGGAGATAGTAAGACAAATGGCAAATGAAGCGGGCTGTTACGTGGCACTGATGACGTACATCGATCGCTCCAAGCCGCGCACGGAAATGTCCCAAGGTTCCATCAGGAGCTTGCTTGGAAAGAATGCACCCACCGCTGGTGTAGCTGGTATCAGACAGTGGACCGTCATAAATGATCCGACGATGGTACCACTCGACTATCGGAGTGAGAAGCTACGCGCTTTTGATCTATCTCGCGGTCTGGTAGATTGGGTGAGCGAACAGCTTTACAGTGGAATGTGGCTGGGATTCTCCGAGACAAGCATGATGGGTATCATGAGAAAAGCGGTTGGTGAAAGCGATCAAATGGGACGCGGGCCCTGTAAAATCCACAGTCCAGTAGTCGCTTCCTATCACTGGTTTGGAAGATTTGGAACTGCAATGGTATTGGAATGCCCAGGAGATCGAGGTCATGGAAATGACGTACATCGCCGTAGTGGTCTTCATGACTGGCATGTAGTAGGCACCGCATTCATATGTCAGCCAGAGGCGAATTCCACGATTGAAACATGCGATCTTTCGCACACACCTTAGGGTTTAGCATAGGGGAGACTAGCTCGGGAGACACAATTGTCAATTGGCAGCTCCGGCAAGGAAACAAGATACAACATCTCATTACTGTGCCCCAAAGTTGAATGAACCCGGTAAAACGTCAGACGTTAGATCATCAACCAAGTATCGTTCGCACTCTCGTCTCTCTTCAATTTATTCATAATCCCCAGCAAACCCACGCCCACTCCTCCCAAAAAGCGCTTCAATCGCCGCCGTAGCCTGCAACTGCGCATGCGTCTCCTTAACCTTCTCCTTCTCCCGTTCCAACCTCCTCACTTTCTCTTTCTCCCTCTCCAACTCCCGCTCCTTCTCTCGGCGTAGCTTCCTGAGTTTCTCATGCTCGATATCGCTAAACTTGGCCCGTTCGTAATCTCTCAGATTCTCCACTCGCTCACGGTCGCGCTCTTTCTCGCGCTCCAAGTCATGCAGACGGTCGATGTCTAGGGAGGAAAGTTGGCTGGTGAGGTCGTGGACGCTGCGCCATGGGTCTGGTGTTGGGGCGCGACCGAGGAGAAGGGGTGAGCGGCGCCCGAGGGCCAATGGGTGGGTGGAGTAGCTCATGGAGCGCTCGGTGAGCAGTCTGGGTGGATCGTGGGGTAAGAATGTAGACCAGCTGTACCAACCGGCAGCTTTGAGTTCGGCACGAGCTTTGTTGACGTCGTTCTCCAGTGCGCCACTGGAGTCGATCGCATCGAGGAACCGCATGCGGTGGGAGCCCTGCTGACTCTCAAGCTTGATCAGATTTGGCGGCTCAATGGTGGTGAGGCTGATTGACGTAGTGTGGTATTCTGGGTTCGAAGTGTTTGGCGCTCGGACGAGGAACTTTCGTGCCCAGTCCTTGAGATCAGAGTCTGGCTCATAGCCTTTGTAGATCTCGTTGAGGACGGCTACGGGGTCTTCGTTGAGGATGCCATAGGCATTCATTCGATCGAGAGCATAGCTCTTGCAGTCTTCGAAGCCCATCAATGTGCCGAGCTTGGCAAATTTTACGTCAGTTAGAACGCAGGCTTCACTGGTCGTTGCTTGGGGTTTGATGATTGGTGGCCCCCGACGCTCGATGCCCAGACCTGCTGCCGCAGCGGCGAATGGGCGTGGGTCAGGCCGGTAGGAGCCAGTGTGCAAGAACTCCAGGAAGCGGACGAACGTGTCTTCAGAAACTTCCTTGTGTACCTTCAGAAAGCGGCTACCCGCCTTTTCAAATGCCCTCACCACGCTCAAAAACTCTTCAATCTTGTCTCCATCAACAAGGACTGGCTTGTCCTTGTACATGAACTCGACCGACTTTGCAGAAGGTCTCAGACGTGCGCGGCGTCTCGTCTCGAGCTCATGACGCCGCTCATTGTACGTTTGGACTTCCGGCTCGCGGACGCACTTGGGCTGGTCGAACAGCGGCTTGCAAACCTTCCCGTACCACTTCTGCACTTCGCTCTCGGATGGCCCCTGCACGATGCTATGGCAGTGGCTGCAATACCATCGCTCCCGGTCCTCACGCTCAACTACTTCTCTCCTTCTTGGACTGTAGTATTCCTCTGCAATGTAGCGAACGGTGGAAGAGCCATGCCCATAGTTGAGAGGCGACAACTCTCTCCCGTGCACAGCTGAGAGCTTCTTAAGGGTAAACATTATCTTACCAAAATGCACGCCATGATCCAAGCGTCCATAGTCCACTTCGTCTTCTTTCTGTGCGCCGCAAGCGACCAGAAGGTATGCGTGTATCATGTGATGGATCAGAACAGCGACAATGTCTTTCGCCTTGGCGTATTCGAGCGCGTCCAGATTCAAGACGATAGAGATGCGCTTGACTTCAGGATTTGGTCCTAGTCTGTGGGTGTAGGTGGTGCCTGAGACGTCGGTACCCGGGGTGTCAAAATCGAGGAAGACTGCATTTTTCAGATGACCGGCAAAGAGTACTTCATCGAGCTTGTTGAAGATACGATATGGGATCTCCTGGACTAGCCCGTCCCTTTCAAGTGTCGCAGCCCGTATCCGTATGTTCTTCAATTTCTCGGCTACGTCAGCCCAATTCTGTTCCAGTCGATCAACGATGAATGCGACTGCCCAATCAATGTTCCAGCCAAGATTCCTGTCGCACCTTAGGAAGGGATCTTGAAGTCGGACAGCGACGCTCGATAGCGGTGGACGATAATTATCAGGCTCGAAGGGGACGTATAGATCTGATTCTGAATCAGAGGGGTAGGACTTTGATCGAGCAAGCGCTGCTCCGCCAAAGAAACGATCACCATACGGCAACAACGCATATTGATCGGGAGAGCCGAGCGTCATTGAGTAGTGAGAGTGATGTGAAGGTCCGAGAGTCTTGGCAAAAGGTCAAAGGATCAAGAATTGATCGAACCTCTGCGGGAGGGTAGTTCCATTGCTGTTTTATAGTTGGGTCGAGCGGGAGGCCGAAGCGGATGATGGCTGCTTCCAGCCGGCGTGACGTAGTGGTTGGCGGCAGCTTCTCCGTTCGAAGACTCAGCATAGAGCACGAATGATAGTTGATGCGAACGTGATGCAAACGCTATCGCGTATTGTTTGTCCTGGGTAAGCCAAAGATCTGGGTCCGGGCTCGTTGGGCTACGGGCGAAGTGGGATATCATTGGGTCGAT